ATGGTCTTTCTTACTTCTGCAAAAAGCACATGGTATGGCGTGTTCAAAAGAGAACCGAATCATGGAGTTTTGCACGAACTGATTGGAACTTTGACGCCACTAAAGGTGCCGCAGAAATATTGAATTACTTATTTTTTGGGGGCGGTCTTTTTGACCTTAGGCTTCCCCTTCGCCTTAGCACGCTTCGCGGGAACAGGGACAGACTTAGTCTTCTCTTCACCATCACCCTTCTTTGATTCACTGTCTTTTTTCAACCTCAGGCCACAAATGTCTAGTCTTCAGCACCATGGCTTGGTTAAGATCAACGGTCCATGGCTGGTAGTGCCAAGCAACCTGAGTTTGATTTCTTTCATCTTGTTGCCAGGATCTTGGAAGCCAGCTTTTTGTGCACTCTTCCTTTGCTCGCGTCCACAAAATCATTTAAGAACACGAACCATGATTTGTGACATGTTGCTGCATTTCACTGCACACATCCTACTGTGAACTCAAGTCATCAATGCGGATATGTGGCACAGTGTAGTGTTGACGACCATCTTTATCAACGAAGACGCAGTAGATGTCACCCTCATGTTGTCCTTTCTGACGCCTTCTGAATTCCACAGTCCAGTCCTGCATGGTGTGCTTTTCTTCAAGGGCATGCTGCCTCAGCTACTTTCTCCCAGAACCAAACACTAAATCATTGTACATGCAGTAACATACCTGTTGTTGCTTGGAGAGGGGAAAAAACATGCAAAGGAAAAAGTTTGGATGAACAGCCTGCATGATGCGATCTTTTACTTTTGGACTTCTTTTGGGTGACCAGCTCAAGCTGCTTTAGCGGGTGTGGGAGGTGCCCTGACGCATTGTTCAATGCCTGTTGTTGTATTTTGGCAATCCTGAACTGGTACCGAGCCCCTGATAGTTCCACAAAGTCCTCAAACGGCTCCGTCAACGAAATGGTCTTGGCTTCTTTCTTTTTCTTCTTATTCTTTGGGGCCTGGTTTCAAAAACAATTTTGTCAGGGCAACACCTCAGTCACGATAACCAGAGCTGAGCCATTCAGGCCTCCACCTCTTCCGGCTTTGCTTCTACAGCGCTTGTGGCAGAGGCTTCGTTCAAACCTGGGCCAGGGCGTTGAGGAAAGCTGACGTTGATTTCTTTGAGAGGGATACCCAAACATACCCAAACAGGATCAAACAGGGGAATAGAACAAGTCAAGGAGCACGTCTTTGATCGCAGGCGTCGTGGAGGGGGAGAGGGCGGCTTTCGTTTCTTGCGTTGCCCTTCAATTTCCGCATCCAATGCTGCCTCCAAATCAGATTCGTGTCCATCAGCCTTCTCAACCTGAAAGACCGAAAGACACAGAGAGTCCCATCCACCCATTGGTTTTATAGTGTAAGCAACAGTGTTAAAACGAACAAAGTGAGAAAAACTACTGTGCAAATCATGGGCGGCATATATCTGGAAATATTCATGAAGTTTGGATTGACGGAATAGACGACAATGCTTTGCTAACCGGACAAAAAATGTAGACCATCGGGTTTGAGTCCACCGCTTAATGTTTGATCTGGGAAACTCCGTGCGGATGGAGAGTGCAGAGGACTGTGCAGCTGGTTTGTATTGTTTTTCACAACTTCCTGTTTGTCCTGCCTCCTTGGAAGCCTCTTCCAAGCAGGGTTCTTCATCGTCACTGCTCAAGCTGATGCTGCTACTGCTGCTGCTGCTGCTACTGTCATTGCTGGAACTGCTCTGTGGTTCTTTCTTCGTCTCCACTTCGTACTTGCTTTCTATTTTCACCTCTTCCTCCTTCACTTCTGCTTTGACCTCATTCTGGTTTTCTTCTTTCTTTGTCGCTTCCCCCTCACTTTCATCACCCTCAGAATTTGATCGGCTTGCCTTCTCATCCTCTTCATCAGACTTGTGGCATCGTTCTTGTTTTGTTTCTTCTTCTTTTTCTTCTTCTTCTTCACATTCATCACTCTCAATGGGCTGTTCCTCTTCACCTTCAGCTTCATCATTTTCCTCAGGTGCTTTCGTTTCCTTATCTCGTAGCTCTTTGGGTCTTGTCTTTGGCTCGGGGCTGCCCATTTCTTCTCCTTCTCCTTCTGCATTTTCTGAGGGATCAGAATCAAGGTGATGTGGACCAGGCGGGTTACCAAGAGTGCCAGGTCTCGAACCTTCCAAGATTCCTAGGCATTCTTCGACCAGCTCCGGATCTGGCGGCGGCAAAGTCGGATCAGAAGCCATTCGGGAAAACAAACCATCAATAAAGGCCACCATTTCCTTCTGTTCAGGTGTAAGTTTTTCTTCAGGCTCCGAATGGACCTCATGTGTTGCTTCACCGTCTCCACGCTCACTTGCTTCATTAAATCTACCGAGCAAACTCCCTGGTACTTGTTCATCCCCTTCTTCCTCAGAAGCTGAGTCAGAGGCTGCTTCATCGTCATCTTTGCTTGCTTTCTCATCACCCGAAGGTGGGTCTTCATCCATGTCGTCTCCATCTTTGGCTGCTTTCTCATCCTCCGACGGTGGGTCGGAGGCTGCTTCATCCTTCTCATCTTTATTGCTTGCTTTCTCATCCTCGGAAGGTGGTTCCGGGGCTGCTTCATCATCAGCATTTTCTCCTTCATCTTCATCTGCGTCCTCAGCCTCAGAAGGTGGGTCCGAGGCTGCTTCATCCTTGTCGTTTCCATCGTTGTTTGCTTTTTCATC